GTGGCTGGAGAGGAGAACAGTACTCAGTAATGACTTTAAGTCCTCTCATACATTAGCCCCGTGTTATCCCTCGGGGACCCCAGAGCTCTGGTTATTGTGGGTTGTGATGAAAGCCACATTCATTAGTGTCCTTGGCCAGTATTCATGTGAGTGGACCAAGAACCAAGGTCATGTGTGAGATGAGCCAACCCTGAAAGCTCAGGCTGTCCAAGCCAAGTGGAGAGGTTTTGAAATGTTAACAAGTGGCGTAGAAAATGAGGACGCTCCCCCTGCAGTTCTTTGAAGACTAGCCGAATGGATGGGGAGGATTTTACCTCAGTCAGTGTGGGCCCCTTGAGAGAGGCTCCCCGCGGGCAGGTGCTGACCGCTGTTCTCTTCTTTCTGTGTAGGGGGCCCAGACCCCTCTTGTCTCTGTCGCCACCAAGACGCAGTCCCCCGAGGAGCGCCTCCTCCCTGCGCCTCTGCTCCCCAGAGAGAAGCCCAAAGCTGAAGCCCCCACAGATCAGAAAACCGCACCCTCGCCCATCCGATCACAGCCTGTGGCCCTGCCGGAAGCCAGGACGCCTACCTCACCCACCAGCTTACAGCCAGAGTCTCTGCTGGCCCCTCCGACACCTCCCTCCGCCCAGCTCCCCATCTGTTCCCAACCTCAGCCTTCCTCGGACGCCTCCATACCATCGCCCACCGAGTCCCCCATACGCTTCCAGCCGGTTCCAGCCAAAACATCCACGCCCCTGACCCCACTCCCTGTGAAGAGCCAAGGAGACCCCAAAGACAGACTAAGTGGCCCCCTGGCTGTGGAGGAGGCCCTGAAGCGGAGTGATCTGGTAGAGGAGTTCTGGATGAAGAGCGCCGAGATCCGCCGCAGCCTGGGCCTCACCCCTGTGGACCGGAGCAAGGGGTCAGAGCCCAGCCTCCCCTCCCCTGCCTTGAAGCCAATATCCCTAAAGTCCTACTCGGTTGACAAGTCCCCTCAGGAAGAGGGTCTCTGCCTTCTGAAACCTCCATCTGTTCCTAAAAGGTTGGGCCTGCCAAAGTCAGCTGGTGACCAGCCCCCACTGCTCACCCCAAAGTCGCCCTCGGACCGGGAGCTGAGGAGCAACCAGGAGGAGCGGAGGGACCTCTCCAGCAGCTCCGGCCTGGGCCTGCATGGCAGCTCCTCCAACATGAAGACCTTGGGCAGCCAGAGCTTCAACACCTCGGACTCCACCATGCTCACTCCGCCTTCTAGCCCACCCCCACCCCCACCTCCCAACGAGGAGCCTGCAACCCTGCGAAGGAAACCCCATCAGACTTTTGAGCACAGGGAGGCCTCGATTATCCCCCCTCCCCCTCCTGCCCCATTCATGCGGCCCCCAAGGGAGCCAACCCAGCCCCCCAGAGAGGAGGTTCGGAAGTCCTTTGTGGAGAGTGTAGACGAGATCCCCTTTGCTGATGATGTGGAGGACACTTACGATGATAAGACTGAGGACTCCAGTCTGCAGGAGAAGTTCTTCACACCCCCTTCCTGCTGGTCCCAGTCAGAGAAGCTCCTGGCCAAGGAGAATGGGCGGCTCCCTCCCCCGGATCGAGATGTGCAGCCACAGAAAAGGGGACTGCCTCTGGTCTCCGCAGAAGCCAAGGAGCTGGCTGAGGAGCGCATGCGAGCCCGGGAGAAGTCGGTGAAGAGCCAAGCACTTCGAGATGCCATGGCCAAGCAGCTGAGCAGGATGCAGGCCATGGAGATGGCAGCCTCCAGGTCCCGCACAGCGCCATCCCAGGGCAAGGAACTAGAGTCCACCAAGCGCTCAGGCCTCCGAGCCTCCCAGGAGCCCACTCTGAAGCATGAAGCTACTAGTGAGGAGATCCTCTCCCCTCCATCAGACTCAGGAGGCCCTGATGGCTCTGTCACCTCGTCTGAGGGCTCTAGTGGGAAGAGCAAAAAGAGGTCATCCCTCTTCTCCCCGCGCAGGAACAAGAAAGAGAAGAAACCCAAAGGAGAAGGCCGACCCCCAGAGAAACCCAGCCCAGGCCTCCCAGAGGAAGGGGCTGCTAAGCCCAAGTCCCTGTGGAAGTCAGTCTTTTCTGGATACAAGAAGGACAAAAAGAAGAAGAGTGATGAGAAGTCCTGCTCCAGTACCCCGTCCAGCGGTGCCACAGTGGACTCCGGCCAGCGCAGGGCATCTCCGATCGTGAGAACAGGTATGCATGGCCAAGGGATGCACACAGGACAGGCATGGGGAGTACCTCCCCAGTCATTCGGTTTACAAAAGATGCACTTTCCTGTGCTGCTCCTGCAAGGGTTCTTAAGAAGGAGAACAGGCCGTTCGCTCTCAGCCTGATCCACTGCATGGAATAATGTTAATGCCAATGTGAAAACTAGATAGGGTAGATTCCTGTTGGTTCCCTGCCTTCCAAATGTGCACCTGATTTTGAGTGGAGCAGAGTCTTGCCAAGGGGTCTTGAACAGGTGTCTAGAGTGACATGTTTGGTGTTGGCCCATCGCCTTTGGGGACAAACCCGTGTCTCCTTGTGTAGGAGGGGCGTCTGACTTCCTGCAGCATGATTTCGTGAGGCACTGGCTGCTGTCTTCACCTGACCTCTTCTCACCCTACAGATCTGCAGCTCCGACGCCAGCTGAGTTTCTCAGAGGACTCAGACCTGTCCAGCGACGACATCCTTGAAAGGTCTTCCCAGAAGTCCAAGCGAGAGGTGGGTACGCCCAGTCCCTGAACGGCTTCAGAGAGCCGATGAACACATCAATTTATTTAATTTTACTTTATGTGCATTCGTGTGTAAGTGTCAGATCTCCTGGCACGGGAGTTATAGACAGCTGTGAGCTGCCAGGTGGGTGCTGGGAATTGAACCCAGATCCTCTGGAAGAGCAGCCAGTGCTTCCAACCCCTGAACGATCTCTCCAGCCCCCAAAGCATCGATTTAGTCTCTGGTAGAGAAGCAGACCGTGAAAGGCCAGTCTAAAGCTGCAGTGCAGAGCCAGTGCCCTGCTCTGGTCTCTTAGCAGATAGACATTGGAGTGCCGTGCCATCCCACAGCCAACAGCAAACGCCACAGAGTGGTCTCTCGGGCCTTTGAAATACGCAGCTGAGGATATTGCCTCAGTCTGAGGAGACCAGGGTACGCTGCCGGTGAGCAGCCTGCCATTACACTGTGAGCAGTGTCTGCCAGGGCCAGACAGTGGGGGAAGAGCCCAGATACTGCTTGGAGTCGTACAAGCCTGGACTGGGCACCAGACATGGGAAGGAGGTGGACCGGGTGGCTCCCTCAGGAATCCCTCAGGAACAGCCTGGCCAAGCTAACTGCCTGGTGCATTTGTTAGGTAGAGGACTTTTTCTGTTTGGAGAATTGACCCTGAAGCAGCACTGATTGAAAGCGTGGGTGCCGAGCCATGCACTGGGGCATGGGCACCCACCAGTGGCCACCCCCTTGTACCTTTTTGATGTGACGTCTCAAGGCTTGGACTTAAGTTGCTCCCTCTGTCAATAGCCTTGAGCTGTAGACCAGCCAGGGCAGGCTGGGGTCGCTCTGCACCCCACATGTGTCTGTTCATTGAGCTGGCATCCCCCTGTCGCAGGTCCATCCTCCAGCCTGTCTCAGTTCCTCTTTGAATAATTCAGCAGACTGGAACAAGTCAGCTTATTCTTACCTCCTTCTGCATTCATCTGCATTTCCATCTCATTCTATATTCTCTCCCCGGGCGTGACGATGGCTCTTTCTCTACTGTCCTAGTCTCCAAGAAGCACAGACCTCTCTTCCGTCTCCGTCTCCTGCAGCCAGGCCTCATTTCTTGCACCAGGAGTCTGAATGTAGTATGGGGGTGGGGGTGGGGGGCAGCTGTGTGCTCTCCATGGGGGTTCAGTCCAGTGTGTTACTACTGAGCATGCCCCCCTGAGGTCTTCCAGGCAGTGGTGTTGGTGATATGTGATATGTGGATGTGCACATGAGTTTCAAAGCTCATCCCAGCACCGGGGGCAGGTGCTGTCTTAGGAGTCCTGAAGGAGCCTGAGCAGAAGAGAATGTGGCCCAAAGTCCCCTTGGCCTCCTTGGTGAGTGTTGAGACACTTGGTGTCACATTGGTCAGATCTTCCATCTCTGGCTGCCACTGTGGTCAGGTCATACCGCTTCTCCATGAGTTAATGAAACATCTTGCCGCAGTGGGGAGCACCAGGTGCCCCCCCTGGCTGTGCCAAATCCGTCATCTTGGTATAGCCACCCAGTGACCACAAGTATGAAGAGCCCAGGAACTCATTTCCGTGGTTATGTGAACAACTGACAGCCGCCATTCACAGATTCCTAGAACAGCAGGGCCTTGGACACCTTGTGTACCGACCGGGTGGACTCCACAGGGACAAGGTCATTCTCTGGTGGTCACATAGGGAATGATGAGGACAAGCAAGGCCCGGGCAGTGGCAAACATGGCTCTTAGGATGACATTGCATCTCACCGAGTGAGGGCAGGGCACAGTAGTTCTTAAAATATGGGACCCACTGGGCATAGCAATTCTGTGCAACCCTAATGCTTAGGAGGCTGAGGCAGGATTGCACAAATCCAAGGCCAGCCTGGGCTACCTGGTGAGTTCTAGGCCACCCAGAGATACATAGCAAGATCCTGTCTTATCACCAGAGGTGGTGGGGGACACATACGGAACCTAGAGTGGGGACAAACTAGAGCAAGACAACCGTAAGGGTACAAAGGACACTTTGAAACTGTTGATGGCATTGATGGTCAATGGCAAATGTAACGTGTAACTTTAAAAAATGCCATCCGTCATCAAGTTGGTGTCCGGATCCTAGCAGGTGGCATTACGGGCATTGTTGGGCAGATGTGTCTCTTCTGAGGAAGAAGTACATTCTGAAGCTTTTAGGGACTGGGTCCCTGGTGTCTAAAAACAGGCTGTGTAAAGACCACACCTGAAGCATGGGGCTGTGCTACCATCTGGGAGTCGGGGTGAAGAGTGTTCCAGCATCGTTGACTTCCTCCTTCTGTGTTTCTGGGTTTGAGATTCTTTTCACAAGTGTCAGGATCAAGGGGACCGAGATTGAAAATGAGCTTTTGCTCGCCCGGAAAAGGAAGCCTCCAGCCACAGTGCAGTGTAGGTGGAAACCAGTCCTTCCTGTCTCGCAGACCCAAGCCCTGAGTCAGGACTCGAAACAAGGGCCTGGGTTTGGGTGCCGCAGGGATGCACAGCACATAAAACCAAAACCTTGTTTTCCCCTAAATGTCTATTATCCAAAAATAAACCGTTCAGGGTTTGTGTGTTTCTATTCGTATGTGTGCACGCACATGTCTGTAACACGCGTGTGAAAAGCTAGAGAACAACCTTGAGCGTTATTCCTCTGGTGTCTGTCTACCTTTTAATGTGTGCATGCGTGGCCGAGTTTACCGTGTAGGCTAGACTGGCTGGACAACAAATCCCGAGAGACAGGATCCACCTGCCTCCACCTCCCGGCTCGGAGATTACAAGCACGCCCCCCCAAGCCGGGCTTTTTATGTGGGGTTTATAGCTCAGACCCTACGTAAGGTCTTCATTACCAACAGATTTATCTCCCCAGCCAATCCAGGTTTGTCTAGCCACCTAAAGCCCCGCCAACAAGGGCTAACTCATCATGGCCCCTTTCCCTTCTTCCCTATGACTCAAGTGCAGCCTGACCAGCTGCTTCTTTGTCACTGAGGACACCAGAGCCTGCCCGGCACCCGACCAGCCCCTCATCCTGCTCTGTACCCCCCCGCCCCAGCCAGCGAGCCCTGCCCTCAGTCCTACTCTCCCAGTTTACCCAAGTGTGTCGTGATTCACCTCCCTGTCACTGCCACTGCCCAGTTGGTACCAGTGCCAGCAGTGGGTAAGTTAATAAAGGAGGCTGCTGTGGCTGCAGCAGCCACAGACAGATCCAGGTGTCGGCGCCGCTCTTGAAGTGTGTCTGTGTGGGGCCGCTGGGGGCCTCGCCCGGACTCTTCCTTTTTAAAGTGCCCTGTTCTGCACGAGGACTTCACTCACAATTTGCTTTGTCGGGGAGAGGATGCCTGTGCTCGGAGCTAAAAGCGGCCAATCCGTTCCCCAGCCAGCATGCTTGTGGAATCCTGTGTGGGTCCCCCACTGGGCCGCCCTCAGCATCCCTCTGTCCCGCACACCACCAAATTCCGATTGCCTCCATGCCTCGGCCCACGGGGACCCTTTAGGCACTTCAGCCGACCCATGAGAAGACCACAGAAGCAAAGGCTACTGGGCAAGGCTTGGAGCAGTTATGGTCAGTGTGTGAAGTGAAAAGCTTTCCACGGCTGCCTGAACCCTGGTGCTCTCTCTGCGTCACGGTGGTTTGACACCTTGGTTTGACACCTTGGTTCTCTTCATGGGGTCTAATTCTGAAAGAACAAGTTTGCCTAGTCCCAGGACGGCTAGATATCACACTGTGACCTATAGGGCCCTGCTTGAGAACCCTGCCAGGCTGGAGAACCAGTCAAAAGAGTGTGCAGGGTCAGCGCCCACTTCCTGCCTCCAGCTTCCATTCAGGCTAAGTGGTCAGCGGCAGGAAAGGGAAGCGAGGGCTGCTGTGGGTGAAGAGGGCCCAGCCAGCACACATTTCCACAAACTGGGGCTCTACAAGAAACAGACACAAAGGAGTCAGGGCATGCTGCTCTGTGAATAGAAAAGTGAACCCCAGCTTTATTTAACAGTGGGGTTCAGCGAGACTCGGCCGATAGGGTCTGTACACCCAGGTTCCTTCTTGTGCAGTCTTGTGTGGCATTGTGAGAAATGATCATGTGATTGAGTCTTGTGTTTGTTTTAAACCTCTAACTGATTTTGTTCCATTTCTGTATTCTGTTTTCATATTTTAATCATCATTATCATTGCTGTTCTGTTTTGTTTTCCGTTGCCATCCCCTTAAAAGTCGGTTTATGTACCACACGCCTTGGCATTCAGGAGAGCCTACTCATCAAAGGTAGTGTCTCGTTCCCATCCATGGCTGGTCCTCGTTGCATGCCTGTCTGTGATTAACCACTTGGACCGCCCTGCTGGGCCCTGCGGCCACGTCCTCACTAACTGTCACACGTGCATGCAGCTGTCACGGCCAAACCTTCTTCCGTTGTGTCACAGAAAGAGGAGGAGACAGTCACTCTCCCCTTGGCTGGAGTGCATGTCATCATGGGTGGGGGCAGAGCTGCCCCTGCGGGTCTGGGTAGCCCAGCAAGGGGTGGTCATCACCTCCACTCTGAACCATCAGGGCACTGGGGTGCCGGGATGCTCCTTACAGGCCGCCTTCCACCTGTTCGCTTGACCTCCTGCTGTCACTGAGCTCCTTGAAGAGAGATGATAAGTCTGGACCCAGGTTGAACGTAGATGTCTCCTTCACAGTCAGAAAGGTCTCTTGGTTTTTTAGAGGAAATCAGGAGGGTCTCACAAAAGAGGACAGTCCCCCACTCATGCTTCTCGGTGGCTGCCCAGTGTGTCCTGTCACTGAATGCTTGGGAGTGTGGTGGACCATGTGTACAGGTTCCTGGGACATCCGTCACTGTCTGCATGGGACTTGTCCAGGGGCCTCCTCCAAGCCCCCAGGCTTCCACCCCAGCTGCCCTGCCCGGGCATCTCCGCCCTTCCTCTCCATGACAACAGCTGCAGACTCCATGACAACAGCTGCCTCTGCACACCCAAGCAGTCACCACCACTGTTCCTTTTTCAGCCCGTGTTAGTCTGGATTCACTGAGATTTCAGATGGAGGCACCCATGTCCTCTCCCTTGCAGGCAGATGTTAGCTACTGGGACCCTATGGGCCCTCTCACCTAGAGAAAGTAATCCCAAACAAGGGGGAAAAAGAGCCCTCACTTTCCAAGCCTTTTCTTGTTCCTGTCTGCCTCAGAAAGAGGAGGCCTAGGGAAACATTTTACTGTGGTGGTTTTTGTTTTTATCATCACAGTGCCTTAAACAACCAGACACACCAAGTGGTGGTGTCGCACGCCTTTGGTCCCAGCACTCAGGAGGCAGAGGCAGCGGTTCTCTGTGAGTCGGAGGCCAGCCTGCTCTACAGAGCAAGTTCCAGGACAGCCAGGGCTACACAGAGAAACCCTGTCTTGAAAACCAAAACCAAAAACAAACAAACACAAACCACACACACGCTTTTATGGCAATGATGGCCTCAGTACCAAAGGAGTGTGTCTGTCTGAGGTTTAATCTGCTAACACTCATTCCACATTAAGCCCTTGTCCCTGTCACAGAGGCAGAGTGTCTCCCATGGAGGTCTCTAGCCTCGCCTCAGGAGAGGGCGTCTGCACCGGCCATGCCCCACTGGCTGTCAGTCAGCGGCTCCCACGCAGGGGACAGTCCTCATACCCTTGCCAGCTTGCCGCCCAAACCAGCCTCCACCTGCACGCAGCCGGCTCAGGAGCTCTCTCTCGCCCTCTCTAGCCCAGAACCTACACAGAGGAGGAGCTGAGTGCCAAGCTGACCCGGCGTGTGCAGAAGGCAGCCCGGAGACAGGCCAAGCAGGAGGAGCTGAAGCGTTTGCACCGAGCCCAGGTACACACCGGCCGGGGGCCACCACATGTGGGTGGGTGAGGCAGCATCGTCCCGTGCTCCAACGGGGCCCCATCTACAGCCTAGGTACACACCGGCTGGGGGGCACCACATTCGGGTGGAAGTGAGGCGGCATCATCCCGTGCCCCCACAGGGCCTCATCTACATCAAGGAAGGTGTAGACGCCAGGGCAGAAGCAGAGACGGTATTCATGGCTTCCAAGATGACAACCTCCAAGTACTCCAGCTTCATGCTCTACAGAGGCCCCTTCTTTGTGGCACTGTCTATAAAAAGAAAGATCCGTGCTTTGAGTTTCCTGGAAGCCTTAGTCTAGAGTGGATGTAGAACCAGCTAGTTCACTTGTAACCATAGTGTCGGGGGTCAGTTCTCGGCCCTGACCTCTGCTTGGTTTTACCTGTAAAACCTCTGTGGTTTTACAGAGAAAGCTCAGAAGGACCTCTGGTTGTGTTCACAGCCTAAGCTGGTGGCTCTCAAGCTTGGGGTCATGACCTCTTCATAAGGGTAGCCTAAGACCATGGGAAAACAGACATTCACAGATTCTTCGTAACAGTAGAGAAATTACAGTTATGAAGTAACAATGAAACAATGTTATGGTTGAGTCACCACGTGAGGCTCTGTGGTCACAGCATTAGGAAGGATGGTTCAGAACCACTGTCCTAGACAGTTCTAGACTCTTCTAACTTATCGAAACGGAACTTCTAATCACTCCATCCAGTGTTTTAAGTCTTCTTACTGTAAAGGTTTAATGAAACCATTTTGAAATGCTTTTGAACTATTCCAGGGAAAGATAACAAGCCCCAGGATCCAGCTGCGTGCACTGGCACACCACACTGGCCGTAATTCCCCTTTCAGTGTCTTGACAAGGCCTCTCTTTCTCCCTCCACGGGTCTGCGGCTTGGTTCTCCTCCTGGAGACGGGAGGTGAGGAAAGGCCGGGAGCTTACGCTCTGTCTCTCGGTAGATCATCCAGCGGCAACTGGAGCAGGTGGAGGAGAAGCAGAGGCAGCTGGAGGAGAGGGGCGTGGCCGTGGAGAAGGCTCTGCGAGGAGAAGCAGGTACTGTCTGGCCTCCTCTGTGAGGAGGCTTGTTCTCAAGGAGAGAGCCTACCTTCCTTCCGGGGGTGAGCCAGATGGGCGGCACATCTTCTGGAATTCAGCTCCTTCTCTATCGGGGTTTGCTGAGTTCTTGGCATCATCCAGGTCCGGTGCTGACCTGTGTTTGGGCAGCCCAGACACCCAGGCCTGCTCCCCAGTCCATTTCTCAGCTTGCTGTTGCCATGCAGAACAAAATCCCAGGCCCTGTCACCTGTTGGTGGCAAGCCCTGGGTTTCTTCTTCCTCTCCCTCCTCCTCCTCCTCCTCCTTCTCCCTCCCATTTTCTCTAAAAGAAAATATCAGGGAATGAGAGAGATTGTCCCTCAAGGAACCATCACAGAACTGCACTGAACAGGCCTCAGCCTGCTCTCCCGAGACTCCTCCTGTCCTCGATTCCCTGAGCTGCACAGCCACAGAGCGCCTGCATCCTCTCCCATGTGGGGCTTCTGGCTGCCCTTGCACTCCGATTTCCCTGGGTGAGCCCAGGCTTGTGTCCACCGAAGGCCGGTCACTAAGAGCGGTGTCGCAGAGGCTTGGGCTTGGGATAAGCTCTTGAGGCATAGGCGTGGGGAGCTGTTACCAGGGCCATGTGGTTGGAGCCCTGCCAGCTTGGCACAGGTGGGTACAGAGAAGATGAGGTATCTGAGCTGTTGTCCCTGGGTCCGAGGTCAGCCTGGCCTCGGGCATGGAATGATTGATCTCCTTCCTCAAGATCCAGTCCCTGGATGGGGACCCTCTTATCCCTGCAGGTGGCCACTGGCCTACGGGTTCAGCATTCATTCTGTGAGGCGACGTAGAAGGAAGGGCAGGGCCTCTTGTTTTTTCCTTCTGGGCACAGGAAAGCAAGCTGGTACACCTCCTGGGCAGGCAAGCTAAAGAACCAGTAGCAGGTCAGACAGGGCCAACCACTGCCTCATAGACCATGTGGTCTAGCCTCGGGTGTGGGACTGGTGTCAGGGATCCAATTTGGAACTGGAGTTCCCAATAGAGGAGTCAGGGCTGGCACAGAAGCAAACCTTCCTTCAGATGACCCTCAGGTGAAGACGTGTGTCAGCTCAGTGATGACCCTCAGGTGAAGATGTGTCCTGAGAGAGGAGGAGGAGGAGGAGGAGGTGGATGTTTGGGGGTTTGTGCCTCACCAGATGCTGGACCTAATGCTTGGAGCCCATGTTACTAAATGGAGTCCAAAAGCTTACGTCACGTTGTATCCAGCAAGTTAAGAAGACTGGTCCCATGCCAAGCAGTGAAGAAGAGACTCACCCGCACATTTTCTTGGCTTCCCAATGAGCCTGTGGCTCCACCGGCCTGCAGGCCTCCCTGTGCCCGACTTCCTCTGACTGATCTCCTCAGTGCAGCCTGAGTGAGCACTGGCGTGGGTTAGCCCTCCCTCCGGAGATCCCTGGCCACAGAGCTGTAAAGCCCTGTCCTCTCCACTACTCTCTCCATGCACAAAAGTCCAGAAGGGAATCTGCAGCTTGCCTCTCAACCTTTCTCCAGATTACTTCAACTAAGGGACAGCCATGTCCCACAACAATAGCTGGCAATACTGTCTAGGTACATGAGCTCATGTTCCTAGTTTCCCAAAAGTGCCCTGACTCTCCCCACTCACAAGGTTCAGAGGCTCAAGGAGATGGCCGGTTCGGTTGGATGTTTCTGGAAAGTGCTTACGGTTCCAGTCAGCCGGAGTCTGTTCCTCTTCCTCACCACTTCTGTAAAAAACTGTCACTCCATTGCCACCAGTGGGCCAGAAAATGATACCATTACAAATGGACAGAGAGGCCAGAGAGATGGCTCAGCATGTGAGATCACATACTGCTCTTACGGAGGACCAGAGTTCGGTCCCCACACCCACACACCAGGCAGCTCACAACCATCTGTAACTCCAGCTCCAGGGGAGCTGTCTCTCTCTTCTGGACTCCACAGACATCGGTATTCACATTTACACACACACACACACACACACACACACCCCAAATTTCTTCTCACTCAGTGGTTTTCAACTTGCTTTGGCAGGAGAAAAGCCCATTGTACACAATTGCTAGTTGAGGCCTAAAACCCAAAAAATTATTTTCCGTGTCTTTTAAACATTGAAAAGCCACGCACACACAAACTGGAGAGAAAGCCCGTGTCCCAGTGAGAGCTGCAGACGTCCAGAAGCGTCAGTTCCTCCTCAAGCAGTGCTCAGGGCACCCCCGCAGGAACATGTGGTTGCTCTAAATAGACCCCTGTTCTTTTTAGCAGCTCACCAGGAACCCCACGGTGTCTGCAAATATGATGGATGCTCACGAACAGAGCAGTTGGCTCTCTGGCAACAATTCATGTTCTTTATACAACAAAACCAAGTACAGGGGCTGGAGAGATGGCTCAGCACTTAAGAGTGCGTGGTGGCCTTGCAGGGGACCTGAGCTTTGTTCCCAGCACCCATGGCGGCTCACAGCCATCAGTCCCAGGGAATCCAGCACCTTCTGCAGACACCAGGCATGCATATGGTACAAGTCCATGCAGGCAAAACACCCATACACATAAAATCAAAATAAGTCTTTAAAAAATTATAAACAAGAAGCTCCCAAACATAAAGAGAAACCCCAAATGTGCTAATATACACTGGTGTGGTATGTCAGCCATCTGAAGGACTGTACCAGCAGTGTGCTCTGAAGTCATCCCCTAAGCCACACCCTTCTCACGGATCCCAGTACAGCGGTACATGATCTCTGTCACTGCCAGAGGGACTTGAATTCACTTCTTACTAATATATCTATGAGAAGTGCAAAATTCTTGGACACGAAGCAAAAGAATCTTAGACCTGAGAGCCCACAAAAGCAGCCTTCCTGGAGGTCTCGAGTGTGTCAAAAGTTGTCTTGTGGAAGCACTTGAGCTTGGTGTGCACTAGTCTTTAAAAGTTCAAAGTCACTGTGGACCCCTGGAACCTCTCTTGAAGAGCCCTAGGGCTCAACAGACGTGTTCTAGTCCAGCTCCTGACTGTAGGCAGATCTTTGCACAACCCCCTGGACCAGAAGGTGAAATGGCCTCCGAAGGTACACATCCGCCTGTGACGCATTTGTATTTCCAAATACATTCTTTTTCTTTTCTTACACTGAACACTCCATGCCCAGGGCTGGGCTAGTGTCAGTTCCCAGTGCCCTTGTCCCTTCCTGGCAGAGAGCGCCTTGGAGGCTGAATGTACATGGTGCCAGCACCTTTCTCTTGTTCCTCATCCCATTCCACTTGGCCTTCTCACTTACCTGCTGAGCAAGGAGCACCGCGGCTTCTAGCAGCACAACTCAGCTCGCTCCCTGAGCTCCAGCCAGCTGGCCAGAACCTGTCATCCTGTCTCATGTGGTGGCCTCAAGCCTCCATTGCTGTCAGAGCGGGTCCCTGTTTGTTAGCCAAGATGCCCTTCATAGAAGAGATCTGGTCTGGAGTTGCCAGCAGGTAACCTGTGTTTGTCGAAGACTTCTGTATACAGGCTGTGCGGATTGCCTCCAGAGCCCTGGAGACCAGGGCAAGGCTGAGACTTGTGGGCTTCTTGTCCTGGAATCCGAGGGGAGCTTCTCTGTTTCTAGAACTCTGACTCAAGCCTAGAACCACTAGACTAGCTTGAACACGAGCTGGAACTCAGCTTTCAGACATATTCATCCTTAAAAGAGAAGGTTGTGGTTGCTGGGATCAGCATCCAGATTGTGAGGTTAGAGAAAGACAGGCATTTTGGTGTGCTCTGGGCCCTAAGAACTGCCAGCTCGGGCCCCACCTGCTGCCAGCCCCCCTCTTCACACCATAGGCACATTAAGACAAGACACTGCTGGACAGCTCCAGGAGCTGAAAAGCCAGAAAGGCCTGTGGCCAGCAGCCTCGGCATCGAGGGTGGAAATTCTGCCAGTGTCCCAGCTCATTTCTTATCTTGAAAGAAAAGGCTCTCTGAAGATGGGGGGGCCTCCATCTCAAGCCCGTTCAGCGAAGGAAAGCATGCTCACCACTAGTGGAGTCACTTGCAAGTTCCTTGGTTTCCAGAGCTTTCTTTTTTCTCCCTTAACATCCACATCTTGAAAGCCTTAGGTTGGAGCCTTTAATATTCAGAAACTAAGTGAGAACAGCTCCTGGTCTGCCCTTAAAACTTCCTTAAATCACGGGTAACGTTGCCTTCCAGCACGATTGGCGGTCACAGTAAAGCCAAGCCCCATCCTTGCTGAGTGGAGGTGCGAACAGGAATCTCCCTGATGTTGGCCGGCAACTCCATTCATAATGGTGTTTGGTACACACACACACACACACACACACACACACACACACACACACAGTACCACGAGATGCAGAGATGGCCTGTGTGTGTGCATGCCATGCTTCCCAGACATGCATGCTTGCCAGCTGCTCCACTGGGCTCTCATGATATTTTTGCCTGTGTTCTGTGTGTCATGCGTTTGATAGCTTTTGGGGCGGGGTGGCAGCAGGGTCATCTTATCCAATAACTCTGTCTTCACCACTTCCTTGTTGTAGACTATTGGGGAGAGTCTAATTACAGTGGCCTCATCGACTTGCACCTGGGTGGTATGTATAGCGTCATCCACTGCTGGCACTAACCCCGAGACGCCCTTTCCTCTTGTTCTCCATCCCGGTCCTTGCTCACAACAGTGAGGAAAAAAAAAAAACCAGCCTGATAACCAAACGGCAAAGCACAAACCCTTTTCCAGGCTCAGTGTCAGAACACTTGCCTAGAGTGCGCCAGAAGCCCTGGGCTCCATCCTCGGCACAGCCGAAAAGCAGCAGTCCTTTCTTCCTTGTGTGCCACAGAGGGAGATTCAGGATAGCTCCTGCTGCTTGATGTTTTCCTAAACTTTTATCTAAAACAAACAAGACCTACGCCCCCTGCTCCACCCGCCCTGCATCTGCGCCCCAGTCCCCTTCGTCTTCTGCTGCCGCTGGGCAGCGGTTCATTCACACGCAAGTCCAGACTTCCATCCTGAATCTCAGCCCTTACCGTGTGCAGGTTTCACATCCTCTGGGATGCTCACCACCCGCGGCACTTACAGTGCAAGCATGGGAGCCCGAGTCAGTGACAGAGCGCTTGCCGGCACGCCTCCGAGTCCGTCCGCAGCAGCTAGAGATGAAATATGCTTTAAAAATTGTAAAACAATGAACTCAGCTGCCATCCTTTTCGCTTGGGAGTGTCGCATAGACCCTAGAGCACGAGAAAGGCCGGAGTATGCCGTCTCTGCCAAGTCACGAGACTTAGCACTTAGTTATATCCATAATGTCCCTTCCTCCCCGTGCCCTGGGGCTCACTTTGCACTGATCCCCTGATCACTTGGGACTTTCTAGACATGCAGATTCTCAGACAGCAGCCCACACCTTCTGGGTCAGAAACTCCACAGAGGAGGCCTGCGTGCCTAGTCTTACAGACTTCCCAGCTGATTCTGATGCCTCTAAAGCAGGGGAGCCCTGGCCACGTGGGGCTGAGTATTTGCTGTCGTCCTGAACAAAGCTCAGCAGAGAAATGGCCGGTCTGGAGTCTTGCTCCTAGACTCGGAGCTGCCGTATTTCCAGAAGAGCGAGGGTCCAGCCCCGGGTTGTCTGGTATAGCAGGGCAGTGGAAGCTCCCCTCTTCTTGGTCAGGTGTTCTGATCTCTTCACCTGCCCCTGGGGCTTCCATGCCTCCAGAAAACAGAACTGCAGGGGAAGATAAAATTTTCCCCATGAGAGAGACACTTCCCACTCATTTAAAAGTCGTAGTCAAGCCATCAATATGGCTTCTTGGGCGTGGGTGTTGGCTTCCAAGCCGGACAACCTGGGTTCAATTCCCAAGACCCGTGGTGCAAAAGAACCAGCTCTCACAGGTTGTCCTCTGGCAGCCACACACTTGCCATGACATGCATGTCTTTCAACAACACACACAAACAAAATAAATACTTTTTTTTTTTTTTAAGTCAGGCCAAGCTAGGTGTCAAAACCTCAGGTGGTGGGCCTGTCCTTGGTTAAAGGGACATTCCTTAGCCTGGTCTACATGACGAGTTCCTTGCTGCTGAGCCTGATGCTGTGGGTTCAGTGTCTGACCCCACGTGACAGAAAGAGCCAACTCCTGCAAGTTACCCACTTTTGCCGTGGCATGTTCATACCACCTCACACAGTAAATTAATTAATATAATAACAACAGGCTACAGAGATGGCACAGTGGCTTAGAGCACTTGCTGCTCATCCAGAGGACCCGGGTTCAATTCCAGCATCCATGAAAGGCAGCTCACAACCACCTGTGGCTCCAGCTGTAGGGGATCTGACACTCTCTTCTGGCCTCCGTGGGCACCTGTACATGTATGCACAGACAGGCGCACACATACACATAAATAAAAGTAAATAAATTTTTAAAAAGAAAAATAAATGTAATAATAAAAAATCATTTAAATAATGTGGTCAGTGACTGAGGAAACAGCCGCTGTCAACCTCTTTTCTCCACACTCCCACAGTCACCTGCACGTATACCACACACACACACACAAGTAAAATGAAAGCCAGGCCTGGGGGTGCGCATGTGCACACATAGGCAACATATACACAATCGTGAGTAAAGTGAACCCAGAGCCAGGTGGGGCACTTGCTCAGCACGTGCCCAGAGGGTAGGACCCTGGGCTCCTGTGTAGGGGGCAGGAGTCGGCCTCTGCCCTCTTCGTTCCTAGTCTTACACGTCCAGGAGTCCACTTGGCCACAGGCGCTTTTCAGAGTCTCCAGCTTCTGGAGTGTTGGGGGGCTCCCACCCACGGCCATTGATGCTGAAAAAGGGCTGATGCTTGCACCCCAGTTAACAGACCCCCGTCTTGTCTAATACCCGTCTCCCTCCCCCGCCTACTCCTAACAGTTCCCTGAGGAATGTCCATGTCGATTCTGAGGTCATCTCCACATGTGAAAAGATAACTTACGTCAGGACATTGTGGAGGGAGTGGTCCAGACCCACTTCCCGCCACATAACCCACCCCTCCTGCTTGAGAGACTGGCTTTTGCAGCGTAGACTGTCTGTGTTGTGTCTTGAATGTTGTCCTTGACCCACTGCTCAGGTAAGGAAATGCAGTGGACCGTTGTCTGTGGCCCCAGACCCCGAGCTCTAACCATGTGCCAGGGGATTCTGGGGTGAAGTGGGATGAGCAGGAAAAAGGCTCTTTAAAACCCCTCTCCCCGAGTCAGACACCGTCTGCCTGTGCTCCCCATTCCAGACCCTCATGGCTTCTCGTCAACCATTCTGATTTGCCCACGGCCCCGGCCCCTCGTGGCTTCTGTCACAAGTAGGCAGACTCTACTGCCCAGTGAAGGACGATGCACTCCTCTCTGAAGAGAGGCCCTTGTGTGCTCCAGCAAAGAGCAAGGGTCACCAGGCCCTCTCCAGAGAGGAAGACATAGATGCCACAGTTGACCCTGTTCAGAGTCTGCTGGGGTTTTCTCTTCAGGCACATGCTCTAATATTATTTGAGAAGTAATTGCCCTTTTGAAGTCTGGGTCATGAAGTAGATAGAGAAGCTGGCTGGCCCTTTACCACACAGAAATGCCATTTGGGGACCACAGCTTCAGTCTTCCTGGAAACAGCTTTGAGCAGCACTTGGAGTGTTAGGGAACTCCGTTCCTCACCTGAGACGTCCAGACCCAGATTCCTGCCCTGTGCTGGACCTGCTCTTCACCTCATCTTTTTGAGACAAAAAACCAGCTCCCTGATGATCCCTTTATTTTTGTCCAATCAGGAATGTTTTCCAGCCAAGGAGAGGAGGGGAGGCACATCTTTAATCCCAGGACTCAGGAGGCATAGACAGGCGGATCTCTTGAGTTCAAGGCCAGCCTGGTCTACCCGAGTGAGTTCCAGGACAGCCAGGGCTACACAGAGAAACCCTGTCTCAAAAAAAAAAAAAAAGAAAAGAAAGAAAGAAAGAGAAAAAGAAATAAAGAAATGCTTTCCTGCTTTGGATTTTAAAGAAAACAGGGAAATAGTAACCAGCAGTTAAAATAGTAAACCAGCAGTTAAAATAGTAACCAGCTGTTAAAATAGTAACCAGTGCTAGGCACAGGAGAAGAACTTCATAGATATTTCCTTGGAGTTTTGTTTTATTTGTTTTGAGAGAAGTTGTCATGTAGCCCAGGCTGGCCTCATGCTCACTGTGTAGTCAAGGATGCCCTTAACTTTTGACCCTCCGGCCTGTACCTCCAGGTGTTGAGTTACTGCATTCTGCCATGTCCAGAGAGTAATTTCTCCCATGAATCATTCTCACCTTAAAATAAGCCCATGGTCCCTTTAGGTATGTCTAGTTCCTTCTGGTATTAGCAGCGTTGTAGAGGGGGAGTTAAATGTAACCAGCAGGACCGAGTGGCTGGATTGGAGATGGGGACCCTAAAGCCGTCTCCCCTGACAGTCCATGCTGCCCCTGAGGGGGCCCAGCTATGATAGACCAGATCTCCGTCTGAGCCTCTCCATGATGAGCACTTCCTTTCATGTAAGGCAACATTAGCCCTCCTCTGTCTCAGCCTTGCACTCAGAGCTCTCAGTGTTGTGAGCAGTAAAAAGACTACAGTGTGTTCTAAGTGTCATTGAGCGCCTAAGCTCAGTGTCTTGCAGGTTGGCAGCTCAGTGGTAGAGTACTTGCCTAGAATGCTTGTGGCCCTAGGTTCATCTCCAGCACCACAGAAAAAAGGCAGGAGGAGAGACAAGATCCAGCAAACCAAGACATCTGTTTCTCACATGTCCATAAATGGCAAAAAAAAAAAAAAAAAACTATCAAAATCTTTGCCCACATGCTCCGTTCAGAGTCTGATTTAGTATGGAATTCCCCATTGATTAGTTTTTCTGTTCCATTTCTTCTTTTTAAAATAGAACCTAGTAGGTGGTTTTTTTGTATTATTTTTTTTTCTAATTATGAGTGATAGGTATTCATCATGGACATGTTGGAGGCTACAAAGCAAGTCATGTGGATCAGACCCATCTGAACATGTCCTTCCATTCGCCTGTTATGGAATCACTTTTTCTCCTTTGTTTTAAATACCTGCTTCACCCGATGCTTTCTAATTTTATTTTTTAACTTCTGTTCTCAATATTGTTATCTCATTTTTGAGGAATGTGATCAAGATAAAAGGACGTAGGCTCTATTGTATGATGTCCAGAAACTAGTGTTTATATTTAGGTCTGTGTATGTATTTTAGCGTGTGTGTGTGTGTGTGTGTGTGTGTGTGTGTGTGTGTAGATTTTCTGTGTCCTGGTGTGTGTGTGTGTGTGTGTGTGTGTGTGTGTGTGTGTGTGTGTGTGTGTAGATTTTCTGTGTCCTGGTGTGTGTGTGTGTGTGTGTGTAGATTTTCTGTGTCCTGGTGTGTGTGTGTGTGTGTGTGTAGATTTTCTGTGTCCTGGTAGTCAGCCCCAAATAACCACACACAGAGAATTATTATTAATTATAAATGCTCGGCCTATAGTTTTGGCTTGTCTCCAGCCAGCTCTTACAACTTAAATTAACCCATTTTTATTAATCTGTGTGCTGCCCCGAGGCTCGTTTACCTCATCTGTGAACTTCTCATGTTTCCTCTGCATCCTCAGACTCTGCCCTTCTTCCCAGCATTCTCTCTGTCCTGAAAATCCTGCCTAGCTATCAGCCAGTCACTTTTTATTATCAATGAGTGCAACAAATTTCACAGTGTACATGCGTGTGCGTGTGCAGGCACCTGCCTGATTTTGGATGTGCATTGCTTACATATTGTGTCATATTGTGTCACTGTCCCTTGCTAAGGAGCAAGGATGCCACTATGCCATTCTAGCGACATTTCTACCTGCTGGCATCATTAGAGTCCCAGGAAGCGGCAGAGAGAGTTAATGGGATATTCACGGGATTCATCCAGGTATCTGAGCTGCACAGACTTTATGCTTCGCAGCCAAGCAGGCTTGAGTAGGTTAGCTGTGTCAGAGCACATGCTTGGAAAAGACGTGGGCGTCAGCTCCTGATGGCCGCACCTGTTGAAATGGGGTAAAAGCACTTCACACACTCTGTCTGTGCCTTTGGTGTGGAGGTTGGACCCAAGTACCAGGTTTACTGTGCACAAAGTGCTTAATAGGACAAGGCTTGAAAGGAAAAGCAATTGTGGGCTCTACATTTATCCCACCGCCAGTCCAGCGGGAGCTTGATGTTTCAGCCTGAGCCCTGTTCTCATCATGGGCCACCTCCCTCCCAGTTCTCCCGTGGCCCGAAGGCCTTACCTTCCTGGGCTTCCTGTGTCCTGTGTGTGCTCCTGTGGTTCTGTGATGGTCCCTTGATCAGCTCCTCTCCCTCTTCTTGGAATGGTGCTCAGGTCTCCCCAGGGTCTGTAGACGCCTCTGCACACCGTCTCCTCTCGGTTGCCCATCACCACTCCAACAGTAGCGTCGCTGTGAGGCGTGGACTGCCCTGTCAGCTCACCCCCTTTCGGTCTCACAGTCCACAGTGTGACACCGTCCCTCAGCTGTGGGGAAAACAAAAGAAAAGGTGGTGGTTGGTTTTCCCTAGCCCGTGGGAGGGATGCTCCAGGCAATTAGAGGTCATTTCTGGGTGTCCATAGTCCATCCGTCCCCCTAACTCCGCTGGTTCAGAACGCAAAGCAATGTATCTCCGGCCCTGCAGGGCCATGACTAGGGTAAGACGCCGCTCGTGCAGACTCAGAGTTCCTTTCTGTGGGCATGGGTGACGGCCAAGGGTGACAGACCCCCCCTTGCCCCTTAGACTTATGGAAAAGCTAGCTGAACCTCCTCAAGCACCCGTGCCCGTGGTGACATCTGAATCCGTTTTATGTAGATTTTGTTGGTCACCTCGGCACCTCCTGCACACGCAGGAGCAGCATTGGCTGCTTATTTACGAAGTCCGTTGAATGGAGGGAGGCAGGTCTACCCAGGGCTTGTGGGTGCTCCTTAGGAAGGAGCCCAGGGCCACCGTAGGACAGTGTTCCGATGTCCCTACACGCCCTCACCAGCCACTGCTGCCTGCAGTCTGGGTCCGCTCTCGTTCGATTTCCGTGCTTGAACCAAGGACTTAATTCATTCGTAGACTTTGTTTCCCTGTTTCTGCTTCTCCATTCTTGTGGATTTTTTTTTCTTTTCTTCCTGTTGTTCCTTTCTCACCTTTTCTGTTTTTGTCCTCTGCTTGTTTTTATTTCACCCTCTCCCGGTCCCTCTCCACCTCCACACTCCTCCTCTCCCTCCCTCTTCCTCTTTTTGTCTCTCTCTGTCTCCTCTTCCTTGTTTGGTCCTTTTGAAGTTGAGCCCAGTGGCGGGACTCCACGGCGTAGACCTCTCTCCTTCTGCCCGTGCTGTGTCCAGGAAGGTAACGTAACCTCGCCACCCACTCATCCCCACTGCCTCTGAGGGGCCGCAGCCACCGTAGTCCAGCAGGGAGCCAAGGCCAGCAGTTGCTCCTCTCTCTGACTGCAGAATGTCATGAGTATGTGGCAGTTTCTTACAAGGCACAGTATCCCTTTGACTGTCTAAGGGAGGAGAGGGACCGAGGGAAGCCATAGAAGAGCCCGCGGGCTCCAGCGTCTGCAGGCTGTAGTTCTCCTGTGGCTCTGCCTGCCATTGGGGCTGGGGGGCCTGGGGCCGGTAAGCTCAAGGCCAGCATCCAGAGGGCCAGGGACGGGTCGGGAACCCCCTGTGGCAGCAGTTTGTATTGGCAGAGTCAAGGAATACTGTCCTTACAAAGACTGGTCTACACAAACGCCCCCCCCAAGTTCTGTTGTTTTCCCCCAGAGCAACCACTAAAAACAAACTTCTACCGTGTGTCTTGCTGAGTGTGTCTTGTTTTGTTTTAAGTTTGTCTGATTTGAAGTCTGTTGTGGTGATAAGATTGTCATTGGCAAGGCATGTGGGCAGGGGAAGGGGAGTGTGGCCATAACTAACCCTGCTAACCTCTTCTCTGCTCTCCATGGTTCTTACATCTGACCACCTACCCCACCACATCCCCTTGCTCATTGGCTATGACTGAGTTCCAACATGGCTCATGAGTAGTGTCCCAGTGTCTCCCCGCCCGCCCGCCCCCCACCCCGTGGAATTTGGGGTCTTGACGTGCTGGGAGGTGGGAAGGAGGGACGGACTTGCCACTCTGGACAGCTTGCATGCCTCAGGGCTTCATCTCCATGGCCACATGGGCACACTGTGCAGAGACGCTCCAGAAGGAATGCGTGGAACTGGGCTCTAGGCTGCTTTAAAGCCAAAGACCCAAGTCTATTGGAGCGGGAAAGGAAAGCTTGGGCCCCAGACCTGTAGGCAGGCTCGACAGGCCAGGATGGAGGTGTCTGTCTTTGAGAGTAGAGCTCAGGGCCAGGATCCCCCACGCCAGGAGCAAGGGTGCATGTGTGCTTGGCACGGTCTGATACTAACCCTTGCGGGCGTCAGTTCTGTCTCTGAAGTGTGGTCACCGGCTAAAGGCTTAGACTTAGGCCTGACATGTGTCCAGCGTAGAATGACAGAGCTTGGCCTTTGACTAGCCTGAAAGAGTCGGGAAGAAGCAGGCTATGACACAAGATCAGCACCTACCTGAGGATGCTATCCACATTCTTGTGCTAGGGCACTGCTCAGGGCTGGACCATCCAACCAAGTTAGTGGAGGGGACTTAGAGGGTTCCAGTCTTAACTTGAGGTCTGTGAATGAACTTCGGGAAGCCCTTGGAACACCCTATAAAAAAATTCTATAAAAAAATTACTGGATGTTGGGATGGGAGTGTAGCTCAGTGGTGGGGCGTGGCCTAGCACATATGAGGCTCTGTGTTCCATCCCCAGCACACAAAAATAATACTACAGGTTTATGTCCACGTGGGCAAAGAGCCACTGATACAGTGTGTTTCCAAGGCAAGGTCACATGAGCAGCCCTGTACACTACACAGAAGGTGATTCCTTAGGGACTCCTTCCTCCATGCTCCTGCTGCATTTAAGCCTGGGGGGGGGGCACTCCTGATGGAGACTCAGTGTCAGTCAAATGTTGATTCAGGACAGCTCAAGTCAGCAGGTGGCCAAAGAGTAGGAACAGCTGCCCTCCTCAGCTGGGGTCTGCTGGTGATGGCCACCGGCCACCGGGCTGCAGTGTTTGTTGGGCAGCACGCTAAGAAGGGGTATTTGAGGGCAGGGGACGTAGCTCAGTGGTGGAGCACTCGCCCGGCATGCATGTGTCTAGGTGAATGCACAACAAACCAAAGAAGTGGCATCTTCCTAGTCGACTAGGAAGCAGAGGTGAAGTGTCCGGGGCCCCTGAAAGAGCCAGCTGCCCAGGAAGAAACAGTGTTAAAAGAAAGTAACTGAAGAACAAGGTGTAGAACGAGGCATGGTTGGCACACACGTCCCTGCAATCTCAGAATGTGCGAGGATGGAGACAGGAGGATCAGGAGTTCGAGGCCAGCTTGGGTTATGTGAAACCCTATCTTAAAGGCCAGGTGTAGTCTGTAAATATTATACTTCTCCTGTTTACAAGACTTTTCCTCCAAAGAGACCTCGTAGCGAGGAGAGAGCGAGTCATTTCATACGCACGCACACCTGTGTCACTGAGCAGAGGCGTGTTAAGCTTGTCGGAAGGAATAGCACCCAGGACAAGGCCTGGGCAGGACTGATGGAAAGTCTAGGTCTGTCAGGCCCTGGGGTGGACACGGTGCAGTGGCCTGTCGTTCTCTGTCCCCTTCTCCCCGTCAGGGCAGTAGGCAAACTTTGGACCTGGCTTGGGACTGTTCCAGCAGCATCTTGCTTGGCTCTTTGCACATTTGCCCCAGTGTGACAATCCTTCTGGGCTGGGCACACAGAGAGCGTCCCCTCGCCTGACCCTCAGTCTCTCACACAGGCATGGGCAAAAAGGATGACCCCAAGCTGATGCAGGAGTGGTTCAAGCTGGTGCAGGAGAAGAACGCCATGGTGCGCTACGAGTCGGAGCTGATGATCTTGTGAGTACACTGAGCTTTAAGAACCAGCTACAGGGGGTGCCAGCATGTGGTGCATCCCAGCAGGCACAGCTGTCCTGGCTTGGCGGGGTGAGAGAGGAGGTCCCCCAAGTCACTGTTGCTGTCTCCGTCTCAGTGCCCGGGAGCTGGAGCTGGAAGACCGCCAGAGCCGGCTGCAGCAGGAGCTGCGAGAGCGTATGGCCGTGGAAGGTAAGTGGAGGGCGCCTGAGTGGGAAGGTGAAATGGGCCGCTCTCCCAGGCCACGCGTCTGACGCCTTCCGCCACTCGGCAGATCACCTGAAGACCGAGGAGGAGCTGTCCGAGGAGAAGAAGATCCTGAACGAGATGCTGGAGGTGGTGGAGCAGAGAGACTCGCTGGTGGTCCTGCTGGAAGAGCAGCGGCTGCGGGAGAAAGAGGAGGACAAGGACCTGGAGGCCGCCATGCTATGCAAGGGCTTCAGCCTGGACTGGTCCTGAGCCTGGCCACCGTGTGCGTTGATCGGCACCCACCTGACCCGGCTGCGTCCTCCCAGACCACCGGATCCAGGTTCAGAAGAGGCCTGGCATCCCTGGAAGGCGGCACACAGACACCTGTGCTGTGGGGAAACCCCAGGGGAGGGCCATCATCCGAGGTGACTCCATCACCTGGGGGAGGCCCCGCCCGGACTTCCCATTCAGGAGGGAGGAGATGGGTGTGTTTGAGGCGTGCCCCGGGGGGGAAACTCCTGCGGGGTCCCCTGGGCTTGCTGTCCGGCACCTCTCCCTTCCTTCTGCTGGAGAGAGAGGCAGGTGGCTCCTCTTCAGAACCACAGCCACCACAGAGCACCTGAAGAACAGAGCAGCCTTTGCCCTCCTGCCCCCCGAAGCACCACCAAAGAAAGTCCAGCGGCGGCGGCATCTTCGGAAAGGGCTGTGGATGAAGGAGATCCGCAGGGAGCGACCCCCATGGGGATGATGCCTACCCTGCCCTGGCCGGGGAAGCCAGACAGTAGGCAGGTTCATTATGCAAGTTAGGAGGGCGCAGGAGGGGTCTGTCCCCAGCCCCACCACACACTGGATTCCCAGTGGCCAAGTGTGCCCCAGGCCTCTCGCATGGGCAGTGGCCTGAGGCCCGTGGATTGCTGTGTTTTGCTTTTAGTTCACAACCATTTTGACACTGGAAAGTATTGACTTGGGGAGAGAGCTGAGGGAAGCCCTACGTGCCAGCCTCCCCTCCCGCCACTGACAGGCAGGCGCCATCCCTGGTCAGCACCCACATCAGTACAGGAGATGGCGCTCCCTGGCATTTTCCTGTGTTTGCACATTGAGACAAGACTGACAACCTGGCCAGACACTCGGCCACTTCGGACCCTTTTTTGTCAATTAACTTATTTTTTTAATACTTGAAAGTAAGCAACTTCATTTTTATACCTTTACTAAAGACACTGATTGCCTGTCACCTGCGTGTAGGAGTGACTGGGAGGTCTTTGTATATCCCATGCAGCCTGATGCAAAGCTGACCTGATTCTTGTTACATGCATCTATTTATTAGCCTTCTGAATAGTGTTACTGACCTGGTCGGCACCAGGGAGCAACTCAAAGCCCTGTGGGTCCTTGCTCACAGCTTTTCTGTCCCCTCCCCCACCCAGCACCCTGTCCCTGCTGGCACTGGACTTCTACAAGGGAACCGCCTCTCTATGAGGATGCATTTCGGCACCAGGCCTGAAGACAGACAGGCTGCTGTGGGCCATGCTGTTCGGATCGTGGCACTGTGGAACCCACTCTGTCCAGTTTTGCAGCCCAGGTTTTACCTCCTGTACATACGTTAACGGTTGAGGGTAGCCCCTCTTCACTCTTGCTGGGACCAAGTCGAGTGTGACCTTGTCCTTGGACTGGCAGATGACAGTGCCGTGGTCCAGCTAGACTGGAGTGTGTGCTGTGCTGGTCTCCCCTCAACACACTGGCCACTCCAGTCTTCCCTGCCTGTACTAGGATTTTCTTGGCCTGGCAAGAGCCAATAAGCACCATGTAACCAGCCCCATAAGCCAAGCTGTTCATTTCTCGGGGTTCACCCAGAGACCGGTGATGGGGGGCCAGGGTGCTTCTCTTTCACAACAGCAGCGCATGGACCAGTGCATTGGTGCCACACCAATCTGGAAAAGGGCATGCCAGCTCGGCCTGGTGGGAGGGGCCGGTGCAGAAAACATGGCGTCCCTGGCAGCCTTCAAGGCTCCAAAGGGCGACACAGCCAAGGGCCCACACTCACCCTGGACTTCCTGTGGGAACCACCGTGTGCCTCAACTTGAACATCCATCTAGCTCCAGAGGAGCAAACTGCTAGCTCACTCTTCACCTTGTGCGGAAGCTGCCATCTCTCCTGTGGAAATACAGATGTGCTGCTAGCAACCACCACAGCTCTGACGTCATCACCTCCTGGTCTCTGCCACGGCAGTTACTGCTGTCTTTATTCTCTGTCTGAAACGGGGAGAGGAGGATGTTCTGGATTCCATTGTTCAACCACAATCTGCCCATCGGACTGGACTTTGAACAGGACCTTTATGGCCTGCGTGGCCTTCTCCTTCACCCTGTCCGCCTCCCCAGTGCCAGCGGCAATCCCGGGAAGGCCAGCCCTGTCATTCCTGCTAGCCCAGAAGAAGGAGACCATTTCCAGAGTGACTCAAGAAGGACCCAGGGGCACACTGCGCCTCCAGTGGCCTCACAGAGCACCGGGTGTTCCCTCCCACCTCTGTCCTGATCAGCCACGACCTTGTTGATCTTTCCAAAGCACACGCTGCTTCCTGCAGTCACCAGAAGCGGGGCAGAAATCCACCAGCCTGGGAGACATTCCCCCAGCTCTCCAGCTGTGACAGCATGAAGACGTGGGGTTTTTTTTCGTAGAGCACTTTTTTTCTGGCTCCCAGTTTTTAACCACTAGTTTGCAGTTGATTTCAGTGGTCCGGGGACATGTGTTCTCCACCTCTGGAAATGCATGCAGGTCTAGTCAGATGTTCTTCCCAAGGGACTATGTCTTCACGTGAAGGCAGGGAAGAGAGGGATGTATACACACTTCGTACATGCATAAGATGCTAGAGCGCATTTGAGTAAGCTAAGTACAGTCAGTGCATTGAGGCACCAGGCTCTACCCCTGAAGGGCAAGCAGAAGGCAGCCCCCTGCTCCCCAGCAAGAGCCGGGCCAGAACCCCAGGTTCTAACCCAGCTCAGGTGATATCTTTGGGCATTTCCCCCCAGCAGCCATCCTTAAGATAATTTTGACCAGCAACTGTAGACTTTAAAAGATAAGACATTTTTCACTGGGACAGGAGAAGAAACGAGTTGGGGCGGGAGCAGCAAGTATCAGGGGCTGGACTGTAGCCCAGTGGTAGGATGTGTGCTTAGCGTGCATAAGGCCCACGGTTCAATCCCCAGTACCACATTTAAAAAAAAAGCTTTTTCTGAGAGATGGTAACATGACCCACAGAGGAAATGGTCTGTTTTATGCGCAATAAAGTTTTTTTTAAAAAGAAATAAAGACTGTTTCTGAAGCCCTTTTTTCTTCTGGGCATTGAGCCAAGACACAGTTCCTTATCTCTACGCCAATCATTTGGCCAGCTTATAGGTGAGTGTAAACAGACAGGGTTGCTCAAAGACTGTGGCTTTTCATTTGGTTTATGATTTTGAGCCCTCTGTTAGCCTCACTCAGCCACCAGCAGCTAGCACTTACAGAATTCTCTGCAGCACCCTACTTAGTAAGAAGTGCTGAGTAATGCCAAGGAAGCCGGAGCCAGCCCCTTAGGACTGCTGTTACAGCAGGGCGGGGTGGCACAGGCCTTTATCCCAGCACTCAGGAGGCAGAGGTAGGTGGAGCTCTGTGAGTTCAAAGTCAGCCTGGGCTACAGAGCTAGTTCGAGGACTACACGGAGTCTTTAAAAAAAAAAAAAAAAAAAAGACTGGTGTTGCTAAAACTCTTACGGTTCCAATGTCAACCTAAGGCAGGATTCCACCCAAGTTACTGTGGGAAAGCAATGTGTTCACTGAGCTTCATTATAGAACTTAGGTCACTTATGGGGGGGATGCCCCCTCCCAAAAAAACCCAGAACATTGCACCTGGAAAGCCTCCACCCAGCAGAGGGGAGGGCTTCCTTGTAGCCACCTAGATGGAGTTCCCCTCCCCTAGACTCCCCCCACCTACGTAGCTAGCCCCTCCCCCGGGCTACATGCAAGTAAGACAGTTGTGTACAAAGGTCTAGTAAGCAAGAACTAGGTACCCAGGTGAGGGTCATGTGACTCTTCCTAACCGTCCAAGAGGGTATGACCCATCAACAAACCTAGCTGGGAGGAGCTTTTGCAAGGGGGTGAGACTGAACTCCGAAAGATGGCAGTTACCAGAGGACAGTCACAAGACTCTCTCTGTGTAGTCCTCGAACTTGCTCTGTAGCCCAGGCTGGCCTCGAACTCACAGAGCTCCAAGATGGCTGGGTTACCAGTTATTTCAAAGAGAAGGCTGCTGCCCAGGGCCTGTGTGTAATGGGAGGTGAAAAGGAGAGGAATAAGAACAGCCAGCTCAGGAGGGACATATCCCAGACTCCAGCTCACGAGGGACATACTGCCACCCCAGACTCCAGCTCAGGAGGGACATACTGCCACCCCAGACTCCAGCTTAGGAGGGACATACTGCCACCCCAGACTCCAGCTTAGGAGGGACATAGTGTGACCCCAGACTTCAGCTTAGGAGGGATATAGTGTGACCCCAGACTCCCGAGGAAAGGGAGAGCATGGCTTTTTCTCTGTTGAAAAGAGAACCGAGCTTCGTGGGCACCTGGGTCCAGCCATCTTTTTTACCCCAGAGGCTTTCCCATAATAAGATTGAGAAACAGGTGGGACATGGCCGCACTTCACAACAACCCCAGGTGGCAGGAAATGGTAGTTTTAGGCAGCCAGCCAACCAGAAAGATGTTCCTCTCAAGAAACCGCCATTCTGCCAGCACAGCTGACTCCTGTCAGAAGAGGGGAGAGGAGAGCAGATCTCCGTCCCCCTAAGAAGGTGAGCGGTAAGGATAGCATCCTCCTGGGTCTGCCGCAGACCTTGGGTGTGTGCCTTCCAGCTGAACGAGTCAGAGGTGGTAAGACGCACATCCTCCATGCAAACTGCGCGTCCCTCTCCACTTATACCTTGCTGGAGAGGCACGGTTCAGGGGAGCGTGTGAGGTGTAGAGGCTCCGGGAGAAGCCTTCAGGCAAGGGGGCTCAGGCTCTGGAGAGCATGTGTTGGGGGCATCTCTTCTGGCAGCCACAGAAGCCGGAGAGCCGTGGGGGCCACCTCCCTCCTGACCCAGGGGAAGGAAGAGCAAGTCACCGTCCTTTGGAAGACAAACTCCAGAAAGGTGTTTCCCTACGGAGGCCTCCCAACAGAAGGCTCAGAAATACTCAGAGGGAATTCCATTCCTTCTTCCTCCCTCTCAGGGAAATAGATTTAACTACGAGGTATTAGTCATGATTCAGAGATCTATTTTCAGGCTACCTCCGTCTGGTCTCCCAGACTGCATTGTGGCTATATCATAGAGAAAGACTGTTTCCTAATCACTGGTAAGTAGCCAAGCACCTCCCAGTAATGAGACGCCCCTGGTGTGGACACTTTATGGCCCAATCTAGCTATCTAATGGCCTAAAGAGGTCGAGAAGAGAAATGAGGGGAAGGAACACAGACACAGGGAAGAGAGAAAAGCTGCTAACCCAAAGTATAAATTCCACAGTTCTTTACAGTTTATTTTATTTTTAGTTTTGTGTCTGTGTGTGGGTATGTGAATGTGAGTACCGGTGCCAGCTGCGGCCAGAGGCATCAGAGCCATCTGAAGCTGGAGTTACAGGCAATCGTGAGCTGCCCGACCTGGGTGCCGGGAACTTCATCTGGGTCCTGTGTAAGGGCAGTGTGTGTTCTTAACCACAGAGCCATCTCTCCGGCCCCAAGTTCCACAAGTCTTTACATATGTAAGTATTCGGCGTTGACATTTAAAACATTGGACCCTGGCTGGAAGGTGGCGCTGCACTCAGGTGCACATGCCCTCACACAGACACATACAATTTAAAATCATAGAAACAAGGGGCAGGAGAGGTGGCTCAGTGGTTAAGGGCACTTGGTGCTCTTGCAGAGGACCTGAGTTCGATTCCCAGCACCCACATGACAGCTCAAAACCATCAGTAACTCCAGTTCCAGGGGATCTGACAACCTTTTTCTGGCTTCCAAGGTCACCAGGCATGTACTTGGTACACGTACATACGTGCAAACATGAAAGTACATCTTTTAAGTACAAGTCTTTAAAACATTGGACCATTAAATCCCATGTGTTGGTTTTCTGGAAGATTTAAAACATACACAGCTCAGGTATGTAGTGCGCCTGTCTAGCACAAAGCCCGGCACGTCGTAAACCCAGGAATGCTGACACACACCTGTAATCCCGGTACTTGGAAAGTGGAAGCAAAAGCATCAGAAGTTGAAGTTCATCCTTGGGTACATGGCAAAGGTGAGGTCAGCCTGGATGGCCTGAGACCCTGTCTCCAAGTAAAAAGAACAAAGAAACAAATAGAAATCATCACGCGTACACATATGCAAGCCTGAATTGTCATTAATCATCTACCTTAACTCGACAGCAGCTAATTCAGAGGTCATCAGTATCCAGACATCCCTGGCCAGTCTCCAACCAAAACTGACCCTCTCTTAGTTTCCCAGACCTTAGGCATCAGCCAGGAGAGAGGTGTCTCCCAACCCCCAGTCTTCAAGGTCACGGTGGAATCTGAAACCTGTGGCTGGCCCTTTGCAGACCTCCCTAAACCCCTGGTCCTTCTCCAGTCTGTTAGGAAGCTGAATCAAGCGCCACTCACCATTCTGAGAAATCTTCCAAACAGATTCAGAGTGCCTGCTTTTCCCAGGACCTCAGCAGCCATACAGGAGCTAGGATCAGGGTCTCAAGGAGTTCCCATTACTGATTTGGACCCTGCTTTCAGCAACGTAGGAGGCCCAGCGGGAGAGAGGTCCTGTTATCTGTTTCTCTTGCTGGAGGATGAAAGGCCATTGCGGCCACCAGGATGGCTCAGCCTTAGCAGGTGAAAGAAAGCATTTGCTTTGTAACCCTGTTCAACCCTCAGACCCACGGTAGAAGGAAAGTTGACCTCTGACCTCCACACACTTGTCCCACACACACCATAAAAAAATGTAAACTTAATTCGAAAGAATTTTTTACTTTTTTAAAAATTTTATTAGCATATATTAACTATACAGAATGGGTTTTAGGATCCTGTTTTCATATATATATATATATATGTAATGTATTTAATTGTGGGCCCATGGTTTAAAACCCCTTTTCCTCCAGGCCAATGGAGGCTTCACCCAGGCCCTTCCTCTCTTCTCTTACATCTGCTAATGATGATCCTAAGAATCCTCAGGAGGAAAATGTTTTGTAGGTCACTTGGCCGTGTGACGTGACGAGCCCTGGGGAGCTGACTTGGCATCTGCCCAGTCTGGCTGCTACTCAGCTGACTGATCTTGAACTTAGCTCTCCAAATCTGTTTCCTTCATCTCTGCCCAGTAAACTGGTGGTGGGATGGAAAAGAACCAATGGCATTACGGACTCTGCCTGTCTCTCAGGCTTCTGAGTCACAGCCACATGCCAGTCCATCCCTGCTAAGGGCCCAACCCAAAAACTGTCCCAGTTCAGTTTCTAGGAATTCCTGACGGCATGTGGATCCCAGGGCAGAGGGGGAGGAAGGAAGCCAGGGTTGGACTGGATGTGGGGAAGTCCTGTACAAGAACACAGAGCACAGAAATAGCACATCACAGCATGTAACAGTAACAGAAACAAAAAGGGCATCATGGCTCACACCTGCAATACCAGGACTCAGGAGACTGAAGCAGGAGGATTGACGTGAATTCTAGGCCTGCCTGGGTCACAGGCTGCTTTAGGCTAGCTTAAGCTACAAAGTAAGACCATGCCTTAAAATTTAAAATAATCGCCTGGTGGTGGTGCATGCCTTTAATCCCAGCACTCTAGGACAGAGGCAGGCAGGTCTCTGAGTTCGAGCCTAGCCTGGACTATAGAGTGAGTTCCAGGACAACCAGAGCTCTTACACGGAGAAACCCTGTCTTGAAAAACACTAAATAAATAAATAGAGCTGGCTTCAGAAAGAGCAGAACATGGTCTGGGGGGCATGATCAGACCCACCTTGGGGCAAATGTTGGGCGGCCTGGCTCTTTGGAAAAGTCACCCCCATTCTTCTGCTCCTTCCCCAGGAGTCTGTGGGGGCTGTGGCCAGACCCTAGGAAGGGACATTTATCTGGCCTTGGGAAGTTGGCCCTCCAGGTCTCTGTTCTTCCTCCTTCAGCTGGGCAGCCTCACTAGTAACTGTTAGAGTAGACCCAAGAGTCCCAAGGGACAGCCAAGGGGCGAAACCTGGGAAACCCCGTGGACTTGTGGCTCCCTGGAGGTGCTGAGTCACAGCGGTTCCACCTGGCTCACCCTCCCACAG